CTGGTGTGGGAGACCTGGAAGAGGCTCCAGGCTCCAGGCTTCAGATCAGCTCAGCTCCAGTCGTTGCAGCCACTTGGGGTTTGAACCAACGAATGGAAGATCTTCCTCCCTGGCTCTCCTGTCTGTATATTTGCATTTTTAATAAAAATAAAAACATCTAAAAAAACCATTTTGAAATTCATGTTTATTTTTTCAAAAGTAGAAATCTTCTGTGGAAATTCAAAATCTCTCATTTGAGATAAAAAATAATACAAATAATACTAATTATATTTAAAGTAAAATATGCCACAAGGAAAATAATACTACCAGAGATAAAGAAGGCAATTCCACCCTGAAAAAAGAAGTCAAAAATCAGAAGGCTATGACTATTTTAGTTATTATCTGTATCCTTAATATCACAACTGTGATGATCTGAAATAAAAATACATGAAAAATTGACGAAAATGTTATCCAAGTCTTCAATATATCACTCTCAATAATTGATGAAAGTATATCAAAAATATCATCAAAGATGTAGCAGCCAGGACGCATACTAAAATCCAGTTTGAATAATTGACATTTGTAGAACATAGATAACTGTCAATATATTTCTTTCTTTTAGACACATATAAGAATTATGCAAAATTAGAACATATTTTGGACCAAAGAAAGAAGTTTCAATAAATTTCAACTCAAACAGGTGTCTGTGTGGATAAGTGTTCCCAATTATTTGTATTAGTCCCAAACTGGAAATAAACCACGTATCCCTCACTAGATTACTCATCTGGGCTATACACATGCAATAGAATACTACTCCCCAGTTAGAAGAAATACACAAGGTACAGCAGGTATCAAAATAGTTATGTCTGGCAGAAGAAGCCAACAAATGGAGAGAGAGAGCACTACTTGATTGAGAGCACTACTGAATTGTGTGAACTAATAAACTGTAACAGAAAAGAAATTAGCTGCTATGAAGGCGGGAAGAATGTGGTGGGAAAGGAAAGAGTGATTTTCAAAGAATATGGGAACTTTGGGAACCTATGCACATGCTAAATACTTATTATGATGATCCTTTTATGATTACATACATGAATCAAATTTATTATGTATTTGTTTAAATAATGGGCATTTTATTACAAGTCATTTGCAGCACAACTAAATCAAACTAAGAAGTCGAAATAATTCTAAAAATACTATTCTCTTTAAAAAATCTGAGACTTTTTTGATTAGTTTATACACAATGCACAACTATTTTCAACTGTTGAAAAAACAGGTAAGGTCACCAAGAATATCTACCTATTTAGATAAACTTGCTATCCATTTATAAATTTGTTTTACACTGGTAGAATACGATTTTTCTTGCAACCAGAATTAAGTCCTGAATTGAATCTGATTTTATAATTCAAGTTACAATTGAAGATTGTGCAAAGCATGTCCTTACATGTCAAATAAGAATAATACTTTAAATTCTACAAATATTTCACAAATATTTAACTCTGGTTGATTTATCAGAAGTTTTTTATCTCCTATGTAAGAGACGGCGTCATCCTTAGAAGGGAGTTCCCAAGAGATGGTCCAGGCAAGTTATTCCCATTGCCCTCACTCTGTTCAGAAGACAGGCTGCCTGGGTTAATGTTCCCAAGGGATCACATCAGGTGGGGCATATACATACCTGAGGGAAGTAGTTCCACACCACCTGACCGAGGGTCGTCTCAAACACACATCACAAGACGAAACCAGAGAAGCTGATGTCACAGGAACGTTGTGTTTAGTAAGTCATCTCATCTCACCTCTCGAAATCTCTACTGTAGGGTGATTCTTAAAAAATATTTCATAGAATAAAATTCTTGAAATGTTTCATGGAGACTCATCAAGTTGAAGTTGAGGATGGATTTTTCATTTTTTATTTCTTCAGAAGTCAGTTCAGCTCATCAGTCTTCTTTCTACTGGAGTTTCTTCAATCTTACTAATAACAATGCAATCAACCACCATAACGCACTGCTTAGGGAACTAACAATTTTCTAAATGCTCTCCAGTTGCCCTTCTTCAAATGGTACTTCTCAGGGTAAGCCCTTAGCACAGCTCCATATACACTGCCTGGGATACCCAACTCCAGCCCGCTCCGGTTTCAGAGTGCCTGAGTCATCCAAGCTGTGTTTAACATTCCACTGCCCTGCTTAAGTGCCTCCTGCAGGAGTGGGCAGCAGACAGGGCCTCAAGCATGCTGTTCCTTGCCACTATCAAGGGGATCTCTCTCTCTCTCTTTGTCTTTCTCTTTCTCTAACTCTTCCTTTTTTTTTTATCCTCTACCCTCCCATTCTAATAAAATAAGTGATTTTGAAAAAGCACCTCTCATTTAAGAAATACTGTTTTTCATATTGGAGACAGAACTATGTATAATTTTTAATATATACAAGTTAAAAGAGTTACACACCAAGGGAGAAGTTGAATTACAGTAGAAAAAAGATTTGTGCCCATTACCTGAGGTAACAAGATGACGTGAACTGGTGGAAGGAGTTTCGTACGTTTAGTCTCTTTCCCTAACTTTTCAGTTTAACCAGTCCCAGACATAACATTATCCTGTTCATCATAATTGTTCCTTTGTTACAGGTAAAACATCCAACGGTACCTTAATTGAATATCTCTTGTCTCTTCTTAGTCTTCTTATCGTGTAAGTAACACTTCAGGGAAGGGCAGAGTGAACGTGAAGTTCCCAGAAAACAAGAAGCATGTCTACCTTGCTCTTCAGTCTAAATCCTGGAGGGTTGATAGGAATGTACATTTAATTTACAGGAAATTGAGTAGTATACACATTTAGTAAAAGACAATCACTTTTTTATGGAAAGCACTCAGCTGTAGAAAAAAATATTGCCAATAAGCTTTGGAAACTGTACTGCTATAAGATGCACCAGGCATAGGTGGGAATGTTAACAGGTGCTACATTATAGACTAGAGTAGGAAATTCTAGAGCCTGTTAGCATAGTAAGGTGACTTGTGATAATATTAATGTGTTGCATTTTCCTCTATTTAAAAGACCTAGAAGATAGAATTTTTCACACTATACAGAAGCATTAAATGTTTGAGGACATACATGTATTTGTCCTAATTGGAAATTACATAATGTGTACATATATTGAAGAATGACATGACAGTTAGTCCTGTTAATGAATGCAGTGTGTAAATAAGAGTTGTTAACTTCAAGTACTGAAATAACTTGTGTTTTCTGTGTAAGTTCTGGTTCAGCTTCATGACACATCTATGAATTGAGTGTTCTCTTTCTGGAAACAGAACTACGTTTAGTTCACCAACAAATTAGATTTCTGACTAGCTCAGACTAAATAAAATCTTTATGATTATTTTATTTGACCCATTATCCAAAGTAGTGTTCATTATTGATAGAGTACATAATATTAATACTGACATACCAGTAATTACAAAATTGACAAAAATCAATATGACTTTTTATGTTGCCAAATTTTTCCCTAATAATGTGCAAAGTCATCTTTAGAAATATCTTGACTCAAGCCTAGGTGGACGCCTGCTTTTGTTATCAATTTGTCAAAGCTTTCGCTGAAAGCTTTATGTTGATGAGAAATCAAGATTCAGTAAGAAAATCAAATATCTCAAGTCCTTCAGTGTTTCTGAGTCTGTGTTGTGTAACAGGTATTTTCTCTAGAAATTCTCTTCTATTGTGGAAGACACATGTAATTTTAAGTTCTGAGACTGTTATCATTTATCTCGCTTTCACAGCAAACATACATGTAAAAGTGTCTTTGGGGAAATTTTCCCTTCATCCTAAGTAAGCACTTAGAAAAGAGGAAGCAGAAACTAATGTTCATGACGAGGTAAATGTTTTCACGGTTCACCTGCTCTTTTTGCCACCAAAGAATAAAATATAATTTTAAAGAATGAAGCAGGAGATACACCAGAACTGCCGCAATGCTAAGGAAGAAAAGTGACAAAAACAGCAATGAAACCAAGTAGCTTAGAAATATTGTGAGTAGGGACTTCTACAAGCAATATGATTATTGTATATAGAATTCAATAGCTAGTGAAGGCTTAACTATTTGTTCAGTTATCACTAATAATCAAAGATGTACTTTGCTTATATTGTATTCTTGTTTTGGAAAACATGATCATATAAATGTGTAGCATTTGCAAAGTGCATGACCAAGAACTAATACTATTTCATAGTCTGGTGAGTCCAAAGCACCCATGAGTAGACATGAAGGAAAATATTTTCTAAGGACAAGCTTGAGCTATCTAGAACCTTCTTTTTTCTTGAAGACAGAATTAAAGCCTGAATTGTCTTAACACTTTGGTGAATTTTTTTCACATGACTATACTGTCACTGTTTTCCTAATTCAAATAGCTAAACAAATTCTGTAATACCGTTGATTTTAATTAGTGATGTATTATATGCCTGGTTTTGCATCTGAATCGTCATGTCAAAATATGTAACAAGGCTTCTTTATATCTTCTTTCACACAGGTGGTCCTAATATGTATTTTGGATGGATAACCCAAAACTTTGCTTTCATGATGTCTGATTGGAGAAATTTGAACAATTTTTATATATAGTGTAAAAAATCTGTAAGTGCTGTGTCCTGTCATTTACATTTAATTAGTGCATCATGTTGCCATCAACTTCCCGAATATTGATTTATTCTTGTTATTCAGTGCAATGGTTGTGATGCCCAGCCAAGAACATTTTCACTGGAATAGTTCAGCTTGCTTTCATCTTGTTTCCAGCTTTCTTGTAAGGGTACTGTCTCAGTAAATCATATACTTAGAAATACTATTTCAGTTTCTGATAGTTGGAAAGTCGAGCTTTCAGCTTCTCTGTATGGCATGATGTATGTATATTTGGCCAAGTTTTCTCTTGACACTCATGCTTTCAATTTAAGATACAGATGCTAAATTTCTATGTAAACCAGGTTATAAAAATTCAGTACCATTTTTCAATCCTGCTAACTGATTATCTACCTACTCTATGTTACTTTAAAGAGCACACCACACAGAATGGATGTAGAAAACCAGTCTATAGTGTCAGAATTTGTATTTCTTGGACTTTGCCAATCATGGGATGTTCAGATCTTACTCTTTGTAATATTTTTGATGCTTTACCTGATCATTGTGTTTGGAAATATTGTTATCGTGATTTTAATCATCACTGACCCACGTCTCCATTCCCCCATGTACTTTTTTTTGGCCAACCTGTCCTTCGTCGACATGTGGCTTTCCTCAGTTACCACTCCCAAAATGGTCACCGACTTCCTCAGGGAAAGCAAGACCATTTCCTTTGGAGGCTGCATGTGCCAGATCCTGTTTGTCCACTTCATTGCAGGGGGTGAGATGGTGCTACTGGTGATAATGGCCTATGATCGCTATGTGGCCATCTGCAAGCCACTCCACTACTCAACCATTATGAATCTGCAAAAGTGCATTGGGTTAGTGATGGCATCCTGGATTGCAGGCTTTTTGCATGCAATGAGTCAAATGGCTGTAATTGTGCAGCTGCCTTTCTGTGGCCCGAAGGAAATAGACAGCTTCTTTTGTGATATACCACTGGTGGTCAAGCTGGCTTGCATGGACTCCTACAATTTGGACATTTTAATGAATGCTGACAGTGGAGTTGTGGCTGTTACATGTTTTATTCTGCTGCTGATATCCTACACATATATTCTTCTCACTGTGCGCAAAAGCTCTAAAACTGGAGCATCCAAGGCCCTCTCTACCTGCACTGCCCACATCACTGTGGTGGTGCTCTTCTTTGTGCCCTGCATCTTCATCTATGTGTGGCCTCTCAGCAACACTTGGGTAGATAAATTTCTTGCTGTGTTTTATTCTGTTATTACACCTCTTCTTAATCCAGCCATTTATACCTTGAGAAATAAGGAGATGAAAAATGCTATGAAGAAATTTAGAAACTGCTGAATGGATTCGAAGGGAAGCAATGCTCAGAAATCCCCTGAGTAATTTAATTTACCAACATGAGTGCCTGGTCTAATAGCTTAAATTGCAGAATATTTAGCTTAGATCAAGTTGCGATTCTAGTATCTAAATACAAGAGTAAGGTTAAGACAATACAAGGCATTCTGATATTCACAGAATACAACAGTAGAGCACTATGAATTATTTCTGTAAACTCAAAATCCAATAATAAATTGTGTGTGATAAATTGGTACAAACTCTTTTCCTTAGCCAAGAACTTTGTTGAAAAAAGCTAAATTTTCTGCAGTAGAGGCTTTTCTTTTTCACCAACTATCCTGGTGGATGACATTTTAAAGAACTTCTCCATTTTCTCCAAAGTTCATCAAGTAAAACGGTAAGCAAACTAAAGCCATGATTCACATAGGAAGTATTAGAGAATAATGATCAACTGTCGATCGTCTCTATGTCAGTGCATAGACTCAATGCATTCTCCTGGGAAAACCTATTCATGCATTCATTGTACTCATCACATGTGTGAAGTAATATTTTCCTACCTAGGATTCTGAATTTCATTACATACCTACCCATATGACCTGAGAAGATAAACCCATGTGAAGTACTATATGTGGATTTCTTGAATATTCTATAAAAAGAGCATAAGAATAAAAAAAACACCATTTACCTTATCCTATAAACTAAATTGTCACACATTTACATAGTAAATGTTCTCATCTCAAAACTTTCAGTCACTATCGTGCTAATACCAAATCAATATTTATACATTAGTCTCAGAGTTAGTTGTCTGAGTTTTCACTGGCTTAAATGAAAGTTGTCTTTACAGATAGTAATCTAGAAGATTTATATTCACATTCCATAGGTAAGTTGTCCTGTGCAATAGGCAGTCTTAATTTTTAATTCAATAAAATATTATAATCTTGGGCATCGAATTTCATAATGCGACAGTACTGAGAGTTGAGGAAATGGAAAATATTCTGTACATTCATGAGGGCACTCTCATGTCCACATCGTCATTCCCAAGTACCCAGAATAAAGATATTATCTTCCATGAAAGAAAGAAGTTTTCCCCACGCATTACTTCATTCACTGAGGCCACTTGTTGATGGGTGATCAGCTATGCATTCAGATTTTATTACTGTGAATTTTCCTACCAAGCCACAAATTCTCATTCATCATCTTTTGCTGTTTTCTCAGACCACATTCAGTCTAGATTGTGTTATCTAAGAACTAGGTATGAAAACGGGGGATAACCTATTTACACAGTGAAATGCCACCCCTTTAATACACACAGTGAGGAATATGGAGACATCTCAACAGCATTATCAGCTTAAGCAGAAAACATTCAAGAGAAAAACCTTACAAAATTTTATTAGTATAAAAATCAGGAAATGATAAGATTAGCATTTCAGGATAGAAATGAGAATTATGAGAATAGTAATGATTATAATAATTATGAGAATAATTATTCTAATGATAGGCACTGCAAAGAAGCTCAAGAAAATTTTCTAACTTGAAAAATATATTTTATTTCTTAATTATGATTTTGTCACAGAGCATTTGAGACTTGTGTTTCTTAACCTTTGTAAATCATTTCTCACTCAATGAAAAGAATTAAAAGCAGGTTGGTAAAAACAAACAAAAAACAACCCCACAGTGATGTAAAATAGTATTAGGGATGGTGTCCTCTCAACAACACTGACAATAAGAGAAAAAATAGTACAATGTTGAAATGATACTAATTATTAAGGAGCAGCGTCTCTCTGTGTTTCTTTAACACTTCTGTTATTCTCAAGAGGAATTTCATGTCAGCCACAAGTTCTTATAGCCACTGTGTAATTATATTCTCCAAGGTCAAAGGCGGCCTAAGGGGGAAAATTCTAGTCAGGCTGAGCTTAATTAATGTCTTGCTACTTGTTTTATATTTTTAATACTCTCCTCTCTATTGAATCTTTGTATGTTGTATATTTAATTTGACCTCATGTTAAAAATGCACTGTAATTAATAATATTTTGCATTTGCTATGTTAATGAAATAAATTATGATGCATCAATAAATTCCTTACTAATTAATCATTTATTGTTACTAAATTTCAACAAATGTCCTTTCTATAATTTGGAGCACAGTGTAGAATACCTGTCTTTATCTACATGTATCAATGCTCCCACTGAACTGAAGAATGCATTTATCATAGCAAGAAATGTTTCATTATGACTGTGTACAGTTATATTCTTCTTTTTTGTAGAGTTATTGTATTTTTGTCACAAAGTCAGATATACAGAGAGGAGGAGAGATAGAGAAGAAGATCTTCCATCCAATGGTTCACTCCACAAGTGGCCACAATGGCCAGAGCTGAGCCAATCCGAAGCTAGAGACCAAGAGTCTCTTCCTGATCTCCCACGTGGATGCAGGGTCCCAAGACTTTGGGCCATCTTCCGCTGCTTTCCCAGGCCACAGCAGGGAGCTGGATGGGAAGCGGGGTCACCAGAAATAGAATTGGTGTCCATATGGGATGCTGATGTATGCAAGGCGATGGCTTTTGCCCCTATGCTGCCATGCAGGGCCCGTGAAGCTGAATTTTCTTTCCTCAAGTGAAGTAGAGAGAGAAAGAGAGAGAGATTTTCTATTCAGTGGTTCACTACTCAAATGGCTGTAGCAGCCTGGTTTGAGCCAGGCTAAAGCCAAGAGAATGGAACTTTATCTAGATCTCCCACATTGGGAGCTGGAGATCAATGCCTGGGACACCCTCTGTTGTCCTCCCAGGAATGTAGGCAGGGAACTGAATCAGAAGTGGAGCAGCTGGGACTCAAACCGACACTCATGTGTGTTGCTGGTGTCACAGATGGCAACGTAATCCGCTGTCCCCCAATGCCAGAGAGAGGGAGAGAGAGAGTAGGATTTACTTCATTTTATGTGAAAGGAAGTCTGGCAGAGAAAGGTGGACTGGGAGAACATTACAGAGAAAAACATTTTGCTTTCTCACTTTCCTTCTCTCTCTCTAGTCATCTGAGTAACTCTGAATTCCAAACAAATACATAAACCTTTTTAAAAAAAATACAATGCCAGTGGACTAAAGTACACAATCTCAGTTGGTAGAAGAGGTTGTGACAGTTACTGTGAAAGAGGTAGTTTGGGTTTTAAAAACAACTGGAGTGATGGTAAACATAAAAATACTAAAATTTTTGGAAATGATAGTGGATGAGAGCAGTAAGATTATGGATCCAGGAAAATGGTCAGTTTTGGTGGCAGACAGGAAGTCCTTGTGGTGTTGGCTATAAACCTGGTGTTGGGATTGTTAAGTGTGGTATCAAGGTGTGGGAAAATGCACAGACTGCTTACAGGTCTGAGCAAGAGAGGGAATCAGATATTATAAAGGAAGTTAAATGTTGCTTTGAGACAGCCATCCCAAATGCATTAAAAGGGTACTGTAAGAGGGAGTTTGGATAACAGGTACAAAATCAGAGCGTAAGTTTCTTGTATTACATAACACACTGAGGTGACCATAGTGCCAAGTAACATACTATATATTTTATGAGCAAATAAAAGACTCCCAAGGCTCCAATAAAACAGCAATGTCAAAAAAGAGGAAATGTTATTGCTTTGATCACCACACACTGTACAGATGCATTGAAATGCTCCATGGTTCCCCATAAATTTACATAATCATTATCTGCCGATTCTTTCTTTGGTAGAAAGCATGCAAAATATTACAATCACTATCAAATAATACAGTCATTTCCCAAGCACTTAAATATATTCTTACTATATGTTCCAACTACTTAACTTCTGTGATCATAAGAAATTTGACCGAAAATGTCCTCTGAAAGTTAGAATGTTGTCGTTGGAGTCAGGATGATGGCTCATTAATCATCTGCCTGCAAAATTAGCATCACATATGGGCACCATTTCACATCCTGGCTGCTCCACTTCCCGTCCAGCTTTCTGCTTATGACCTAGGAATGCAGAGAATGGCCCAAGGCCTCAGGCCCTTGCACCCACATAGAAGACCCCGAAGGAGCTCCTGGCCCGCAGCTTTGGATCAACGTGGCTCTGGCCGTTGATGCAATTTGGGGAGTAAACCAGTGGATGGAAGACCTCTGTCTCTCTATCTCCTTCTCCCTCTGTAAAATTCACCTTTCAAATAAAGGTAAATTGAAAAATCTTTTTTAAAATGTTCTTGTTAGCTTTATTCGTGTTAATGGGAGGATGGCAGACTTATCAATTGCTTCAGATGCTTACAATGGAATATTTCAAGAATTAAGCATAGGGCCCGGCGCGATGGTGCAGTGGTTAAGGTCCTCGCCTTGCACCGGGATCCCATATGGGCACCGATTCTAATCCCGACAGCCCCGCTTCCCATGCCGCTCCCTGCCTGTGGCCCGGGAAAAGCAGTCGAGGACAGACCAAAGCTTTGGGACCCTGCACCCACGTGGGAGAACCGGAAGAGGATCCTGGCTTCGGATTGGCTCAGCTCCAAACGTTGCGGCCACCTGGGGAGTGAACCATTGGATGGAAGATCTTCCTCTCTGTCCCTCCTCTCTGTATATCTGCCTTTCCAATAAAAATAAAATAAATCTTTAAAAAAGAAAGAGTCAAGCATAGATGAATCTCAAAAGTGTGATACTTAATTTAAAAAGCCAAGCACAATGCGTATTCTTACTTTGCTTTCAGAAACATGCAATCCAGTCAGTGTTGACAAGGGTAAGAGTAGTGGTCACTCTAGGGCTGTAGTTGGCTGAAAGAGTTTCAAGAGAATGTTCTGATGGAGTCACATAGACATCCTTATCTTTATGGTGGTCAGGAGGTCCATAAATTTTGAAAAACACCTCCAGGTAAGCTGTTTAGGTACATTTTATTGCACAAAAACTATGAGCAACATACAGGAGAAATATCATGTGCAATCTGTCATGCAAAGCAACATTGACCCTTAACCTTCCTTTCTGGAAATTTACCTTCAGATATAAATTCACATATTTAGATTTATTTAT